TTTATAATAAGGATATTGGCCTATAGATATCTTTTCTTTGCTGATTTTGGCATGTGGATAATGTTGTCTTGGTAGAATGAGTTGGGAAGTGTACCCTCCTTTTTTTGGGAAGAGTTTGTGACTAATTGGTGTTAAATATTTAAATGTTTGGTAGAATTCACCAATGAAGACATCTGTTCCTTGACTTTTCTTTGTGGGAAGTATTTTTCTTATTATAATTTCAATCTTGTTTAAACTTTATTTCTTTTGGACTTAATTTTGGTAGTGTAGATTCTCTAACTTTTGGGCCTGCAAATTTCTTTACAAATCTTTTATTTCCATAAGATCAGCAGTAATATTTCATTCCTGGTTTTAGTAATTTGAGACTTTTTTTTGGTAGACTAGCTAAGTATGGGTTAATTTTGTTGATTTTCTCCCAAGAACTAGCTTTTGGTTTTGGTTTATTTTTCTATTCTCAATTTATTTTTACTCTAATCTGTATTGTTCCTTTGTTCTACTTTAGATTTCATTTGTTATTCTTTTCTAGTCCTTATATTAGAAGACTGGGTTATTGACTTGAGACCTTTCTTTCTTAATGTGGACATTTACAGCTATGTTACTCTGTAAGTGCTGCTTTAGTTACCTTACAAAAGGTTCTGGTGTGCTGTGTCTTCATTTTCACCAACCTCAAGTAACTTTGTAATTTCTTTTGTGAATTCTTTGACTCATTTGTTAAATATAAGTATACTGCTTAATTTCCACACATTAGTCAATTCCCCAAATTTTCTTATTATTGATTTCCAGTCTCATTTCATTGTGACCACAGAATGAACATTAAAAAATTAGAATTTGTTTAATGACCTAAAATATGGTTTAGGTAATGTTCCACGTATACTTTAGACGAATGTGCATCATGTTGTTGTTAAATTATTTTAAAGTTGTTTGCTAGGTCTTTTTGACTTAAAGCATTCTTACTTTCTGTTTATTTGTTGACCTTCTCATTGCTCTGTTATTGTGAGGCAATGAAGTCACCAACTATTATTGTTGAATTGCTTATTCTCCTTCCAATTTGTCAGTCTTTACTTTCTACATTTAGGGTTCTGTTATTAGATGCATATATATGCATAACTGTCTTCTTGGTGGACTGACTCTTTTATTATTATGTAATGTCTTTGTCTCTAGAATGTCTCCTACAGATAGCATATAATTGGACTATGATTTTTATCCATTCTCCTATTTCTAACTTTAAATGGGAATGTTTAATCCATTTACATTTAATGAAATTATCAATAAAGTGGGATTTAGGTTGCCATTTTGTTTTCTATGTCCTTTGTAGTTTTGTCCCTCTACTGCTCCATTACTTTTATGCATTCTCTTGTTAGTATTTTCTAGTGTACCATTTTATGAGTTCCCTTATTGTAGCTTTTACCATATATTCTTTAGCTATTTTAAAGCTATTTTCTCCTTGATGATTATAATTAACATCTTGAATCTAGTTTGGATTTAAACCAACTTAATTTCAATAGTATACAAAAATTTTGTTCCTATGTAGGCTTTTCTGCCCTCATCCTTTGTACTATAGTCATGTAAAATGTTTTTATTTTGTACCTATCATTACCAAAGATTTTATGCAGTTGTTCCTAAACCAGGAGAGTTAAGAACAGAAAACAAACTCAGGCTATTTTATATTTATCTACAGTTACTTTCACCAGTTCCCTTTATTTCTCCATATAGATTTGTGTTGTCTATTTTAATATCATTTAACCCTGATAGACTCTATTATTTCCTGTAGGCAGACTTGTTAGTGAAGAATTCTGTTTTTGTTTATCTTGGACTGTTCTAATTTCATTTTCATTTTGAAGGATAGTTCTCCTGGGTATAGAATTCTTATTTGATAATTATTTACTTTCTGCACTTTGAATATGGCATTCTACTGCCCTAGTCTCCATTACTTCTGATGACAATCCCTCATACATGAGTCACTTTTTCCTTGCTTTCAAGATTACATGTCCTGTCATGGATATTTATGAGTTTTTCCTACTTGTGATTGATTAAGCTTCTTGTGTGTGCAAATCAATGTTTTTTTTTTTTTTAAGTCAAACTTGTCTTTAACCATTATCTTTTCAAATATTCATGTTGCCACTTTCTTTTCTCCCTAAGACTCCAATCATGCATACATTAGTATGCTTCATAGTGTCCCACAGGTCTCTGTGGCTAGATTCATTTTTCATTATTTTTCCTTTCTGTACCTCAGAATGGATCATCTCAATGGACTTCTATTCAAGTTTGCTATTTTTCTCCCTGCTCAAATCTGCTATTGAGTACCTCTCGTGAATTTTTTTCATTTCAGTTATTGTTTTCAACTTAAGAATTTGCATTTGGTTATTTTAATTTTTAAAAATATTTTTAGTTGAAGATGGACACAATACCTTTTAAAATTTATTTTTATGTGATGCTGAGGATTGAACCCACTGCCTCACATGTGCTAGACAAGTGCTCTACCTGTGAACTACAACCCCAGCCCCTGGTTATTTTATTTCTATTATTTAATCATTATTTTCTATGTGGTGAGACATCATTTTCATACTTCAGTTCTTTAGACATGGATTTTATTTCATTAAGTATATTTAAAGAAGCTGACTTAAAAGTCTTTTTTTGTCTACAAGTCCAATGTCTGTATTTCCTTGGGTGCAGTATTTTATTCCTGTGTACTTTGTTTCTTTGCATGCTTCATAATTTTTTTGTGTGTAAAACTGGATGATTTAAATAATATGTAGTAACTGTAAAAATCATATTTACTTACCTCTATTTTAAGAGTTTGCTGTACTTGCTGCTTTTTATTTTAGTGAATTTTCTGAACTAATTCAGTAGTCTATATTCTTTGCAACACATGAACATTGAAGTCTCTGCTTGGGTAGGTTAGCAGAGATTTCCCCGACTTGAAACCAGTAAGTTTCCCAGTCTGTGCAGAGGGCTGTACACACATTGCGACACTCAGCAGGAAAGGTGACAGCTGTTTTCGGCTTCACTTTCTTCTTGTGCAGAACCACAAGGTCAACTTAAGTTCAGAGTTTAGGACGTTATCAGGTCTTTCCTGAGCAAGAGTACATCCATTGGCAAGTGCAAAGCTCTACACATGTGCATGACCATCTAACCCCCAGAATACCAGAGCTTTTCAAAACTCCTCTGACACCTCATTCCCCAGCTTTTCTTCTTAAGGTTTTGGTTAGCCTATTGTTCACTGCAAGGATTATGTGCTGCTCCAGGCAGTCACATGTTAATTATCTCCTGAGTATTTTTCAGCAAATGTTCCAGAGGAAAAGGCTTTTCACACTTGACAAACTCAAATCCCGTAAAATAAAGACAGTCCGGCAAGTAATATCTTCCAGAGAACTGCCCAACAGGTCAAATGACAGTTCTGTGGAAATGAGGCTTTAAAGGAGCTCTATCCTCCTTTGCCCCCTCTGGTGGCTTCCAGGCTACTGTTATACACCACTGTGTATTGTTGGTTTTCAAGGAGCCAGTGGAGATGGAAAGGGGATGGAAAAAGAGGAAGTTAAAACACCACAAAGCTCACTGTTCATGCTGTGATCCAGTTGTTTTTCTTGAATTAATAAGTACTCCTTGGATTGCTGCAGCCCTTGGTTAGTTTCCAGAATTCTAAAAAAAGTGAATTCTGACATTTTGAGCCAATTTCTTCTTGCTTTGACAGTGAGTGAAAGGTGTTCAGAGGTCCTTCCTCAACCATTTTCACTGGCTTTGATTTAAATATCTAATGCTCTCTTTTCTTTCCTACAGAATGAATTTGGATAAAACAATAAAGATACCACCACTGACATTTCTGAGCATTCGTATGGTTCAAACTCAATTATTCTATAAACATGCAACCAGACTGGATGCAATATGAATTTTAGAAAATGGCCATACTCCAAGTGGACATTGCCATAACTTCTGGACGGCAGAATCAGAGTGTTAGACAATCTTTTCATTACAGACACATATATCTTCAATCACCAGAAGAAACAAAACCTGATGCTTTTTAACATAGGCAGCAAGGATAACCCATACTTTACTGTAAGGTGGAATGGGAAAGAAAACAGAACAACTCTTGCAGGTTTCTTAATTGCATTTAAAAATGACCTCCAAATGCTGCACCTTCTGCTTAGCCACCACTCTGGGCTGCCAGTACTTTTCTGTGTCTGAAGTACGAAAGACCATGTAGTCATGCTTCAAAGAGCACATCTTAGGCTGTGAAGCACGCTCTTTTTCTGACTGAGGATAACAGTCACTCTGCTATGATCAATCCCTTTCCTAAGAGACACCTGCATTACTTTCAGATCTATTAGCTGATGACATAGAGAGGTACTTCCTGGGTAGAGACAGTGAGACTTAAGTGATTTTCTAGACAGATATGGAGCTATTTTCATGAGCACAGATTTCATAAAAATCTTCTCTGAAGAAAAGGCAAGACATTCACTGAGCTCTTGGAGAAATGTAAAAGAGCCTCATTAGGAACAAGCAGGAGTGAATGGAAATTGCAAAAATAAAAGCATAATAAAATGGTCAGGGTTATGTAAGAAAGCATTTAAATAAGATTGTCAAAGAGTGTTTATGAGTCTATGCAATGAATTTACATCTCAATATTGAATTATACTAGGTTGTATGAATGTTGGTCCAGTTAAGTGTCCATGTTCATAAATCATCTGAATAAAAATGTTTTGATTTCTGATGAAGCAATGTACTAGGTTTAAGTTTTTTTAATAGTAAAAAAAAGTCATTTTTTTTCAGGAAGGAAAACTAAACATTAGTATTAATAATTTTAAAAACTGCCTTTGAAAGTTCCCAGAGATTATGAAATAGGTATATGTTTTAGGCAAAACTACATGCAGTCAACTGGTGTTGAAGTTCTTCTTATTTTTTTCCCCTTAGACCCCAAAACATTTTAATACGTAATACTCAATGTGAAACGAATGTGAGATAGTCAGACAAGTAGAGTGTGGAAGGATTTAGTGAGAGATGAGTACACTGACCAAAGAAAGTTTAATATGCCTCTCACTCTTCCAGAAGACGAGGGCCAGATAATAAACAAGATCACTAATCATCTTTAGTAGCCAGAGAGGATCCTCCACCAGTCCTTTCTGGTCCTCTCTGTTAAAATATTTTAAAGTGCACTCAAAATACACATTAATTGAAGATGTAGCATTTCATCTACACAATATTATAGTTAAGATTTCTGGCATAACTATTAGGCATACTGAAAAGCACTGGTAGAGTGATACAGTGACGTAGACCCCTTGGTACTGCTTCCCAGATGACCTGTTTCATGAGGCCATCCTAGATTTTAAAACTTACCACTAGCCAACCACACATGAGGTCACTGTTGTAAACTCACCTGAACAGACACTACATTCCAAGTGGCTCACTTTAAAAAATTACTATTATTGCATGAAGTATTTTTCTACTTAGAATAACTACTGCTTAAGGCAACAACAAATGGTAAGGACATTTATCTAGCAAACACGAGGACCTGGGCTCAATCCCCAGCACTGTTAAAAAAAAGTAAACAACATACATAATAATTTTAGATTTGCCTTTCTGTAAAGGTTTGGACAAAATTCAAATACACAGCATGTAGTCAAATTTTCTCCAGTTGACAACACTCCTTTATAATATCAAAGTTGGGAATGACATCAGTGAATCCAGCACAAAATTTCTGTAATGAACAGCACCAGGGAAACCATGTTATAAGTTCCCTTTCTCATCAATTAAACCCAGATGCTGCAACCCAGGGTTAAGGTTGAGATTGCCCAAAGACTGGCTGCCCCACCAAGGCTGATATTCAACACACTCCAGTTTATATCAGGTAAAGAGAGGATGCTTGGAGTCTAAGTGTCTTTGTAAAACTGCAAACATGTTAAAACAAGATTATTAAAAAAAAAAAAAAAAAACAAAAAAAAAAAACAAGATTATTACATACTTTATCTCAATGAGAATTCCTGAATATCAGGTTAGCACATTTCATGGCTCCATTTTAAGATATATGATGGCAGAGGGTGAAACAGAAAGATGTAGCAATATATTTACTGTCATTTAAATAACAGGTATCAGTCACTTAGGCTTGAAGCACATTTGTGAAGTTTCATGCCACATTTCTCACCCGTCAACTTACATACAAGTAGGGATTTTGCTAAAACTTCAATTATTCCAAAAGATGAAAGAAGTGGTACATTTTGATACAGATCTTCAGTTTCTATTAATTATACTTTAGGCCTTTGAAATGTTAAGGCTGAACAGACTAAGTTATGAAAGGGACAAGAGGAAGTAAGAACAGTGCGAATACAGTTGGAACACATGGTAACTTTCTGCCTTCACCATTCTCCCCAGATAGTCTGCTTTCTGAGCAGCAGGTGGTGTGACTGTAAAGAGATCACACATTTGTCAGTAACTATGTAGGATTTTTGGCACTGTTAGAGCCTAGCATTACAGAGTTAGGGCAGCTAATAAAATGCCATCAACCAGATTTTTGACAAGTCTGAAAGTTTTTGAAAATAACTTTTCTATCAAGCAACCCTTCCTGGTTCTCTTTTCAGTCCTGCCTTAGAGAACAATTTTTTTTTCTTTTTAAAAAAATCACTTCACAGCAACCAGATGAACATCTGGCAGCAAAGTAACACTAAAATGCCATTCTTTTAAAGGAAGGGCAAATACGTGACTCTTCCATGAAGAGTTTGTCTCTCTGGCAGGGGTAGGCTCACAGGCTGTTAATGGAGGTTTGTTTTTTTTTTTAAACCAAAGCCCAAGGCTGTTTGGACTTCACCTGTATTTTCTCAGTGATAGCTGGACAACAATGTTACATATATAAGAAATCCAGAGTCAAAATGAACACAAGCTCATGCACTAGGTAAATAATGCGCTCAAGTTGTACTTTGGATGGCCCTGCTAACAACTAGTAGCAGAAGTAGCTGAAGCCATTTTTTCACATGTAACAATGATAGCTCAAAATCAGTATGAATTTAATCATAAACCCACCTAATGGGAACAGGGAGGTCTTATTTTGGTGTATGTTTTCTCCCCTTTTCTTATTATGCAGAAAAATGCTTAAATCTAGAAAGGATAAGATCTTTTAAAGCCTCAAATATTTCTTGAGCTTCTCATTTATTAAAAAAAATCTCATTAGGAAATTTAAAAATTTTTTAAATTATTTTTTTGTATATAGTCTTTCAAATCAGAGTGTATTTCATTTTCGTTTTTAAATCCCTCTTGATGGTCTCTTAATACATTGCAAAACTTACAAATAAGGTTGTAACTTTCCAGAGGGTGTGTGCTCTGGGATCTTGCTGCGCCTCCACAGGAGTCTAACTTTGCCGCCAACTCAGGCACCCCACCCTGCTATGCGAGACTATTAGGCCATGGAGTGTGCTGAAATGCTAAAAACTGACAAGTTTCCACTGGAGAAACCATGGAGAATAATCGCATGGGGAAATAATCCTCTGGGGGAAAGAAAGAGAGCAAGAGAAGTATCACTGAAGGTAAGCTGTTCAAAAGTTAATTTGCCTGTATTATCAAATTATAGATCTTCAGGGAACTCACTTTAAATTAGACGTGTGGAGGTTCATCAAACTAAATAGTTTACGTATGAGACACATTCACATAAAAAGAAAAAACACAGAAGACAGGATGTCCTTAATTTGGGGGAGGATATATTCCAACTTGGGGGAAGGGTGAAGGCGTTTTAGCTGTGCAGCTCAATATGACATTTCCAGAGAGTTCTGCATGCCCCCGCATGAGACAGGACAGGATGGAAGGGCCTGTTCTGCCCTGGCTGGACTATCCAAGCCCTGCCGCACACAGTGTGCGACTCAGAGGCGGCCTTGGTGTCAAGCTGGCAGTGCTCCTGAGGCTCTTGAGTGTTTATCAACTCAGCAGGTCAAAAGTCTGCAGACACTGGGTGGAGCAGCAGTAAGCCACAAAACTAACAGTTGTCCTCCTGGAAGGGGAGAAAGGAGAGAGAACACTGTTAGTTCAAGATTAAAGTCTCTGGATTCTTTCCACTGGAGACAGTCTTTCTTTGTTACAAATAAATGATTGGGCATGGTCAACAGACTGCATTACAGAAATATAAATTTCCTTCTAAAACTGAGCTGTCATCAGGTAAGGCATGTGAGTGCATGTGTGTGCTTGTTTTATTAGTGGTGTTCTGATGACATACTATCCCTAACCTCACTGATGGGGAATAATTAGCCTTCTTCCATATCCTGTTCTGAACTGTGCTTAGTAGAACTAACAGTGCAATCACAGATTTTGTAGTACATTATTAAAATCATACAACAGAAACCCATTTAGCTAGAATACATACATACTGCAGAGCTTAACATAATTTTAACAAAGGTATTCCCATAGATTGTTCATGGAAATAATTTCAGAATCTGTTAATGCAGTTCAAGGTATTCCCACATACCAGAGGAATCCCTTCTCAAACTCCTATTTGGAGACTTCTGCCTGGAGGCCTCTGACACCCTCTGGACAGCTCCAGGTGTTAAGTGTTCCCACCAGAAGTGCCATCCTCTGGTGAAGGGAAAAGAGGCTACTGTGCTAAGTGTTTTCTATTCTTCACCCCTTAATCCAGTCTCTGCCTATTTGTGTAGCCTAGGAAGGTGATCTCTACAGACTCTACCCTACTAATTGGTAGAGCATTCTGTTGCATTGCAGTTACTCAAAGCATCAAATAAAATGGCAATGGACAATAAGGCACAGGAGAACAAGTGGCTGGGGAACCTGATGGCTACGGCCATCACGGTGAATCAGTCTTTTTGGGGACATGGCTTCTGACTGTGTTGACAAGATTGGGGGTGAGGGGAGGGAGACAAGGAGAGAGAGACAGGGAGGGGAGGGGCAGGCTTCATGCCTTGAAATCTCAACTCAAGGAATAGGTAGAAAATCAGAAAGTTTCTATGGTGGCCTGACCTTTCAGGCCACTCATTTTATGAAGCAATGAGGAACATGGCTGAGGCCTGAAAAGTAGAGGCTGCAGAATCATCAGCCAGGTAATGGGATGCTTATGCTAAATCTCTATGCTAAGATAAAGGTGCTGGTTTGGGAGGTAGTGGGAACTTGAGACTTGAGGGAGAAGCCTTTGGATAGACACCAATCTAAGGACCTTGAGCCTCTAACATCTTTGAACATCTTTTCATATCAGAAGCAGCATTTTCTACCTTGTAAGAAAACTGTATTCCTTCGCATAAAAATATTTTAATGGCTACATGTAGGGTGGCTACCTAAAAATGAAGAACCTATTCTTTTCAGGAACCACCATCACCAATACTCATTGCTTCTATGGCCATCAAGAGAGTAAAATCCCAGCATGACCCAGAGATCTTTAAGGTCTATTCCTGGAGGAGATAATGTATACAATGAAGAAGTCACAGGATCTTGTCACAATATATTAGAAGGAACCTGGAAAGCAAATGTGGAAACAGATTCTAAGTACATTAGCCAATGAGAATAAATAGAAGGTTGGATCAGACCAAATAAGGGCATTTCACCTAGGCCTCAGGATTTAATATGTTACTCAAGCACCTGGGAATGAATAACAATAGCCTTGACTCAGTAGAGGGCTATAGTCAATGAGATCAAATGCTGGATCTTTTCCTGAAGACTTTAGAGACAGGAGAGCATAGACTTATGATATGGTGGCCTGAAAGGATACTCATTTTATGATGCAATGAGGAACATGGCTGAGGCTATGGGAACATTGGGTTGGACCCAATTTAGAGTATCCTCCTCAGTCACCTGAAAAATCTCCAAAAGGGTCAAGAGATTCCTTTCACTAAAGCATTAAGATATGTACTGGTGAGGGGAATACCAAATGGAAGGAGCAAGCACCCTTGAAGTTTTAAGACACGCCTACTAGAGGTCAGAAATAAACCTGCAAATGTTTGAAACCTGATACATAGTGAGGTATTAAATGGGAAAGAAGAGTGTATCCAGAACTGTCCATTATAAAGAAAGACAGACATTTGATGGGTGCCTTTGGGCTGTGCTGGCAATATCTATTTCAGTGGAGACTTTTGATTCTGTCAAGATAGAATATCACCATTTCCTCCAGTCTTCCATGTTATAACTTAAACATCCTAGTTATAGCACAACAAACAAGTTTAGGATGACTCTGAAATGTAGAATGAAGGCAGATAACATAAGGACCTTGGGACTTGAGCAACAACACAGCAAGGGTAAGTTCTCTGGGTTGTCAGGTCTTAGATATTATTACCTTATTATCTCATGTGTCTTAGCAGAAGCCTCCAATTCAGAACCACCCACAAGGACAAACAAAAAATCTCTAGAAAAAGTGTGTTCCCTTAAGTCAAAAGACTGGGATAGGGAATCTATAATGACAGAAAGTGGAGAAAAAGTTGTTCAGAGCTGGATATGTCATGGGGGAGGACAGAGGACTAACAGCTAAAAGTACCAGGTTTTCTTTTAGGAATGACAGAATGTTCTAAAATGGACTGTGGTGATGGTTGCATATACTTGTGGATATACTATATATATACTGAATTGTATACTTTAAATTGGTAAAACTGTAGAATATCTGAGTAATTTCAAGAAAGCTGTTAAAAATAGAGCCAAAAGGAAAAATACATAAACCTACAATTAGAACTGATAGAACTACTATATAAAAAAATCAGTATAGAAGAACTGAGTAATACAATAAACCAAAGGATCTAATTGACATATTTAGAATACTCCACTCAATAGCATTTGTAAAACATACAATTTTTTTTTCAAATGCCTATGAAATAATCACGAAGGTTTACTATATATAGGTCTATTAAATAAACTTCAACAAATTGAAAGAACTGATCTATAAATGAAATGTCTGGTTTCATCTTGGACATGTAAAGAGCCGGCGGTCTGTTTTTCACAAGAAATATATGTTGAAGGAATTGAAAATCAACAATTTTTCTTAATCCCCTTGGAGAACTGAAATTGTACAATAAAGTGCCACCTCAACATCTAGAGACAGTGAATATAGAAGTCACAGCTAAGATCTGCTTACCTGGACAGAAGCTGCTGAGACATAAACTGGTAGGAAATGAAAATGTTTATGAGAGAATAGAAAAAGAGTAGAAATCAACAAAATTAAAAACATCATTAGGGTTAAGATCAATAAAACTGATGTCCTCAAAGACTTACAAAGATAAAAAGAAGATAAATTACTATTAAACATGAAACAGGTAATAACCCTATAGATCCTGCAAGCTATTCTAATGATATAAGAGAATATTGTGAACAAAAAAGTTTTCATCTTAGAATAAATAGATCAACTCCTTAAACAACACAAACCACCAAAACCCAACAGTCCTATAACCATTAATTTAAATTTGTAATTAAAAAAAAAGAAATTTACATTCCCAGATGGTATCTCTAGAGACTCTTAACATTTAAAGGGGAATAAGAATAAAAATTTTACAACAATCTCCTTCAGACAAATGGAAGAGGAACACATCCTAACTAATTTTATGAGGCCAGTATTATTCCAACTCCAAAACGAGAGGATGATAGAAAAACAGAAATGTGTAGACAAATACCTCTTATGAGCATAGATTAAAAATTTTCACTGGGAATTTTTGGCAGTTGAACGTTTGACTAGCATGCTCAAGCTCTGGGTTTGATCCAGTACTATCCTCCCTCCAAAAAGAAAAAAAAAACTCAACAAAGTATTGATAAATTAAATATAGAAAAGTATAGAATAAATTATACATCATGATCAAGTGGGAGTCATTCCAGGTGTGTAAAGCAGGTTTAATAATTTTAATATTTATTTTTTAGTTTTAGGTAGACACAATATCTTTATTTTATGTTTATGTGGTGCTGAGGATCAAACCCAGTGCCTGGAACATGAGCACTTTACCATTGAGCCACAACCCCAGCCCCAATAATTTTAATATTTAACAATATCAATAGATTAAAGAAAAAATTATATGATTATGTTAATGGATTCGAAATAAGCATTTGACAAAATGGTACATTAATTCATAATAAAAACTCTCAGTGAACTACAAAGAGAGGAGATCTTCCTCAATTTGATAAAGAGAACATACAACCACAAAATCCTAGTGCTAATGTTATACAACAGTGATGGACTCAATGTTTTCCAAGACTGGGAAAAAGTCAAGAATGTCCACTCTCACATCCTTAGTCAGCATAGAATTAGAAGTTCTAATGGCTGTCATAAGACAAGAAAAAGAAATAAAAGACACACAGATCAGAGTGAAGAAGTGAAACTATTTGTTTGCAGATGGCATGACATAATTGTTTATGCAGAAAATCCCAGGTAATCTATAGAAAATACTTCTAAAACTAATAAAGCAAGTTATAGCATATAAGATAAAAATACAAAAGCCAATCACATTTCTATACACTAATAATGAACACATGGAAATTTGAAAAATATATCATTTATTACCACAAAAAGAAAGTGAAATATCTGGGAATGAAGAAAACATGCTGATGGTTACATGATGCTGATTAAAAAAAAGACCCTAATAAGTGGAGAGATATACTCATGTATTAGAAGACTCAACATAGTAAAGATATTCTTTCCAAATTGATCTGAAAGCTCAATTTGATTCTTATCAAAGTCCCAACAAGGTTTTTGGAGACTTACTCCAAAACTTAATGAAAAAGTACAGGCCAGGCTGGGGATGTGGCTCAAGGGGTAGCGTGCTCGCCTGGCATGCATGCGGCCCGGGTTCGATCCTCAGCACCACATACCAACAAAGATGTTGTGTCCCCCGAGAACTAAAAAATAAATATTAAAAAAACAATTCTCTCTCTCTCCTCTCTCTTTCTCTCTTAAAAAAAAAAAGAAAAAAGTACAGGCCCTAGAATAGCTGAAACAACCTTGAAAGGGAAGAATAAATTGGAAGTTCACTTAGCCTGATATTAAGTCCTATTATACAGCTACAGTAATTGAGACACATTGGT